TCGGACAGGCCTTCCACATAAAGGATTGAACACACGTCTATTTCTACGTATATGACCATACTCCGCATACGATACCTTAAAAATGGACAAACCGAGTCCGATCGTAATTTGGTTCGTAAAAGCCCAATAGCATTCTAAGACTAGAGCTTTTGATTCCAGCACCCTCAAGAACATTTTTCCTTCCTAGTTCTAGAACTATGAAGTTTGTTTAGTGGGTCAAAAAGGTCGACAGCGTAAAATAAATCCGATTTATAATTCAGTATATATGAGGGATAGAGGCAGAGCCTTGGAAAACCCTATTTACAGATAGACGTATGAAAGAAAACATGCAGATATTTACATAGCAGTTATACCAGTCATTAATATCATGTAAATGTTTGACCATCAAGCATAAGTTTATCTAGTCTTCTTTTGAAGGCCTCAACGTTTTCCGCTAAGACAACGGAGTTCTGCAATTTGTTCCATCCCTCAACCAGCCGGTGAGAGAAGAATTTGGCCCGCAAATCGAGTCTGGCATGTTTCATCTTCAATTTGTATGCGTGCCCTCGGAGATTTGTCGTCCGCGCCAGTTCGAAGAAGTCGTCAAACTGAAGAGCACAGTCTAGCCCTCGGACTATCCTGAAGGCCATGATCATGTCCCCTCTGTACTGTCTATAAGAGAGAGGAAATATTTTTAGCTTCTCCAGCCGTCTCTCATAAGGTAAGGTACTTAATCCGTCGACTAGCTTGGTCGCTCTTCCTTATACGTTCTCCAGTAGGCTGTAATCTTTTTTCGTCCAGGGACACCATGCCTGAACACAATATTACAGCATTGGTCGAACGTATGCGCCAAATACTCGGCCGAAAAGTTCCTCATCAAAATTGACGAAAGATCTTCTAATCGCGCCTAGAATACCCATAGCTTTCTTTGATACCTTAGCACAGTGAGACGATGGTTTGAGAGTTGACGTCATCCACACACCGAGGTCTCTTAACTCGTTGACTGATTCGAGTTGGTGACTTCCTATAAAGTACTGAGATTCAAATCTCAACGGCCTCCTGTTGCTCGAACGTAATCGGATAAGTTGGCATTTGTTACGATTGAGGCTTAGGCACCACTCATCACACCATTTTTGCAAGCGATTTAAATTGTCTTGTAATTGTACAGAATCTTCCGGCTTCTCTATTGATTGCCACAATTTGAGATCGTCGGCAAACATTACGCGCTCGCAGTTCAGACAGTCCAGGCAGTCGTTCACATATTTTAAGAACAGAATTGGACCCAAAACGCTCCCCTGCGGAGAGCCACTGTGGACGATTACCCATTCTGATTTAGCGTTTCCGATACACACACGCTGAGATCTGCCCGTAAGAAAGTCGGTACGCCATTTCAACAGATTTCCATTCGCACCCACTTGACGTAGTTTAAATATATGTCGCCTGTGTGAAACACTATCAAAAACCTTTTTGAAGTCAATGAACACGGCGTCGACTGATAAGCCCATGTCGATTGATTTCATCCTGCTCTCCCTGGATACTAGCAGGTTAGTGAGACAGGATCGACCGCTTCGGAATCCATGCTGATGCAAACTGAGCAAGTTGTTTTCTTCGAGATGCCTCATCAGCTCCGTTTTTATTACCTTTTTCATTAGTTTGCAACAGATGCTTGTGATACTCACTGGTCTGCAACTATTCGGGGCTGTTCTGTCGCCACCTTTATATATGGGGCTTATATTTGCTTTCTTTCAGTCGGTAGGCAGAGCCCCGGTCTCCATCGAAGTTCTGAAGATCCCGGATAACGGAGAGGACAGTTGGTTTGAGAGTTCATTCAGGACTTTCGCGAACACGCCGTCCGGACCAGAGGATTTAGTGGGCTGTATTAGAGTCAAAATTTTCCTTACCGTGTCTGTTGTGAAGTTCACCGAGCTAATTGAATTTCTTGATATGAACATTTGGGGACAAACTCTTTCATCAGAAGCCGGCTCCTCGGACAGCAGGTTCGCTTTATCTGAGTTGTCAGACAACGCATTTCCCTGGCGATCTTTTAGACAGGGAATGCAGTCCCGGTTGCGTTTTGCCTTGTTCACGTATCCAAAGAATTTTTTGAATTTTGAGGGATATTTTTAGAAGTTTTGACTCAAATACTGCCCTTTCTCTCCTCAGCAGATTCCGACATACATTGCTCTGTTTTCAGAAGTCAGCGAAACGCCCTGGCTGCTGACATCTGACGTACTTTTTCCAAAGTATTCTTTTCAGTTTAAGGTTCTTCTTTATTACCGACGTCACCCACTCTGGACGGGAAGTGCGCGGTTTCCTCTTAAGTCGGCAACAACTCTCCACCAAGTGCTGCATTACGTCCTTAAAGAAGAACCAATCTCTTTCTGAGCCAGGTGCTTGTGCAGAATTTCAATTCACCTTTTGCAGCAGACTTTTCAGTCGGGAATAATCCCCTTTCCATACATTTCTTTCCTCAGCAGGTCGAATTTCGGGTGCGGAAAAATGACTATAATCAGAAACAAGAACGCAGTGGTTACATCGGCCAAATGGCGTATGCGATGCCAATCCGAGAATACAACTATCATCCCTAGTGATTATGAGGTCTAAACAACTGGACTGCTATCCCTCTCTGAATCGAGTGTCCACTTTAACGTGTTGGGTAAGGAACTCATTTGTGATCAGTTGAATAAATTTCTGTTTAAAGGAGTTTTCTGGTCGCATGTAATGCATCAAGTCCCACTCGATGTCTGGACAGTTGAAATCACCATATAGCATTATGTGTTTGCTTCGACAAATTTCTTCTATCTCGGTGATGAGTGCATCGTCCGCATCCGGCCGCTGGCCTGGCGGTCTGTAAACCAGGGCCATATGTAGGCTTGGATGGTTTGGCACCTTCAAGTAACAACCAAGTATTTCACAATCAATGTTCCGAAATGGGGAAGGCTAAGCTTTGACGTAGTCGATACCATCTCGTACAAATATCGCCATCCCCCCATCTCTTCATTCCTTTCGGTCCATTCGGAGAAGCTGAAAACCATCTAGCATAACTTCCGCGTCTTTTATCTGAGCATTTAACCATGGTTCTGTTAAAGCTATCAAGTGGGATTGGAAATCGGCCACAGTCAGCTTTTTTTTCATCTAATTTGTTGGATAAACTCTGCACATTAGTGTGTATCATTTTTATATTATTCGGTTGTCTAGATCTCCGCAAATTGCTTGCTGGTGCTTTCGACTGATAGTTACTGCGTACTAAGTCCACTAGCCGATTGTGAATTTATTGAAGTTAGTCGGGAGTGAGCGTCGGTGTTTTTACCGTCAGTGTCACTGGATGATTCCACAAAAAGGAACGCTCTATTTTCACAATTTGCTTGTTCACTTTTTTCAGACTCACTTCGCCCTCGCTCTGACGTTTTCTCAGTTCCGTTACCAACGTCCTCATTTTTATACGTTCGATTGGGCGATAGTCCGGCTGAAAAGCACTCCACGACGGTTGTTTTGAAGCCCGCACTTTCGCTACAAAATGCGATCTGCCTGCTGTTCGTTGTCCAACAAGATTTTTAGTGGTCTCGGTCGCACTTTCTCTGCGTTGTTTCTAACTAAAAGCCCCAAATGGGAGATATTTTGGATTTCGACTACCTCATCGGGTTCTTGGGTGCCATTCAGTGCGTTTTGAAATGTCAGCAGATCGTGTTTTACCCTTTCGTTCGGGGTGTCACCAGGTGCGCAGGTACTCCTTGCAATACCACACAACATGATCTCTCGGGGAAATAACTGGTGGTTGCATTCTGCCCTCTTTTGTTGGCGTAGATTGAGTCTCCGTCTCTGGGAATGCCTTTAGGGCTGTATACAGATCAGTTGCTAATTTGCTCGCGTACGTGATATATGTTGTAACAGGTACTACTTTTATAACTGCATTTTGCTTGCGACCGTATCCAGCGCCCGTTGTTGTCGCACATCTTTTGACTGACTGAGCGTTCGTTTCGAGTTTATTTGTTTCGCTGGCT